GTCTGTGTCTGTGTGTGTGTTTGTGTGTGTTTGTGTTTTTTTTTTTGTGTTTTGTGTGTGTGTGTTGTTGTGTGTTTTTGTTCTTCCTTTTTTTTTGTGTGTGTGTGTGCGCGTGTGCGTGCACGTGTGAGTGTCTGTGTGTGTGATCTGACTTGAGTTATATAAGTTGTGGGCTGAACCAAGGGGTTGAGAACTGAAGTGAACAAGGCCAGAAACACAGGGCAAGAGGGGCATGGCTTCTTGAGTCGTCACCAGTTGCTGGTCAACTGAGTATTGACCGTACCGCTTTTGAATGTTGACTGGCAGCGCCATATCGTCGGTTCTTTCACGTAGAGCAAAACTCTGCGGCACAGGCCCAATTTGCAACAGTTGCGCACGTGTAGGGTCTCTGGCTGAGGTGTGTCCGCTTTCGGTGTTGTACAATTGGTCTGAGCAGTTGAAGCTGCATGCGCCTTCGCTCCGGGTGCGCACCTACCACGGGCCAGACCGGGACAAATCTCCTGGCAGCTTCCGACTGCAGGACTGCAATTGAGCGATTGCAAATAGCATTCGCACCTTGACATGAAGATGTCAAGGACTGCTTTTCAACTTGCACTGTTGTTGCTTTGGGTAGGGCGAGGTGCACACCTGACCTCGACAACTGTGCAGGACGTGACATTGACGACCTACGATGTGCTGCGCGCGGAGGTGCGCATGGAAAATTGGGGGTGGGGGAGGAGGACCAGCTCGGGCTAGCTTCCGCGAGTGGCCAAGGAAATCCTCTTCAAAGTGATCAAGTAGTCATGGGAGTCAACCACTTTGGTACGGAAAGGGCTGTTTTCGACAACCATGTGCTGTATGCAGTGTTCCCTTGAGGTTGGTTTTTCGCTGTTTTTCCCAACGCCGACAAGCTGGAAAATGGCGGTGGCCAGCACAAATCCGGCCCCGCCCACCAATGGACTCACCCAGCCAGCCAAGCCAGCAGCAGGAGTTCAAAACCATCCCCCCTTTGGGTGCACCCTCACCGCTTTCCCAGGTGCGTGACCTGAGCAAAGGCCTGGGCTCGGTGTCTTGGCACCGCGCGGTGCTGGACGAGGCCCATGTGATCAAGGGCCACAAGCAGGCGACGGCCCAGGCCGCGGAGGGGGAGTCGAGTCCGACAGAGGTCCTCCAAAGCTTAGGGGATTGAACCACGCGGTCCGCCCACCCCTTTGAAGGCAAAACACGACGAGGTGGCTTGAAGTTTCACGTAACAATTTACAAACCCGATGCTAGAAGGGAAACCAAAAGGAGTTGTTTGAAAGAAGAATGGTTTGAAGATGTTGAACGGGGGGTTGGGCCCTGTTGAAAGTTGTTGAGTCTCCTGCCAGGCAGTGTTCCAACTGGTGAAAGCGGACTGCAAGTGGTGCCTCACCGGCACACCCATCCAGAACTCCGTGGAAGATTTGTTTTCCCTGGCGCGGTTCTTGAAGCTTGAGCCTTTCGACCAGTTCGACTGGTTCAACCGCACCTGGGTGCCCAGAAAAGGGGGGGCCACGTGATGGTTGTGTTTTTGTCAGTTAAAGAACAACCACCAAGGAACTAGCAGGAAACCACATAGCCCAAAGGATGGATCCTTTGTTCACTTGCTCCAGTCCCCAGGCACCATCCTGCGGCCCTTGAAGAACCGCGATGTGGTGGGCTTTGAGCGCCTGCAAGTGTTGCTTCGTTTCTGGTGCCTGCGCCGAACCAAAGACATGAGCATCTTGGATTCCAGTGGCAAGAGGCGGCCACTGTTGCTCCTGCCCAGCAAGACCTTGGAGTTGGTGCGTGTGCCTTTGGAGTCCAGCGACCGTGTGCTCTACGACCGCCTCTTCAACTGTGCCAGCGAGAGGGTTCAGGAGATGCAAGCCCGCAGCCAACTGGGGCAGAATTTCTCACAAGTGTCTTGCCATGGCAAGCTTTGTATGTGGTGTTATGTTCTTCACAAAGCTTGTTGAGATTCGGAGATACGGCGGGCACATTTGTGAAATCCAGGTTCTTTCACTGTTGACCCGTCTTCGGCAGCTTTGCTGCTCAGCTGGGCTCCTGCCAGCAAACCTGCTGGCCGAACTTCGCAGTGGGAAAGGCCGGGGGACTGCGATCCCAAAAGCTGGCCTCCAAGAGGCCCCCGACGAGCTCGGGAATTAGAGAAACACAAGATCAGATTGTGTTCAGAGGTGAGCCAAGGAACATGAAAAAGTGGTTGTTACTTTCGTCTTGGATTCGATTTTTAGCATTGGACTACAACTTATGGTACACGTATTGGTCAGCATTGGCAGGGTACAGGTCAGCTAGTTGCTGGTGAGCTTGGGTTCAGCGTCGGCTGAGTATTGCTTGGGTTAGTTCAGCTGTATTCTAAAATGTTGCGCAATCCCCAATGCTCTTCTAAACAAGCAGGACGTGCAAGGCACAAACGGGCGCAAGGCTCGAACATTTGCGAACCGCTTCCCAAGGTGATGTCGGCCGCGTGTTCGACGCAGCAGTCGCTGCCCTTGGCAGCAATCGCGTGGAGCAGTTGCTGAAGAATTTGGCAGAAGCCCAGGAGGATGACTGAAACTCAGCGAACTTTGCACTGTGACGGCTGGGCGGGTTTTTACTTGGGATAACCCAATAAGCCAATAACCCGATATCCAGTATCGGCTTATCGACGTATCGGCGCATATCGGCTGATCGGCTTATCGGCGGCTGTTGCGCATAGGGAAAAAAGACATCTTTTTGGTTAGGTCGTGTGGGATTTGACACCTGGGAGGAGAACACACACAACACGCAGGGCCCCACGAGTTTGGGGTGGGGAGGGGAAAGCGTCTTTCTGCCAGGGTCACATGTGGCCGTTGACACCTAGAAGGAGAACACAAACACCCCACCCCTCCCCCCCCCCGACGTCGGCAGAGGGCGCCTTGAATTTAGGGTAGGGAAATAGGACGCCTTCCCCTTAAGTTTGTGCTAGGGAACAAAATTCAAACCGCCCTTCTGCCTGGGTCACGTGAGCCACATGGGGCGGTTAACACCTGGAAGGAGAATGCAAACAACGGTCCTCTGACTTGAATTCTGGGTAGGGGTAAAGACGTCGATTTGTCATAGTTTCCTTATTGCCTTACTTGCAAAATTAAGGGCATCCACCGTACCACACTTTCTCAAAGGTGTCGGGGATAGCCTTTGCAGGGTTTCCACCTGAGAACGTTCCGGTTGGGAACGTTTATGTTGTCGACCTTTTGGTTTGGTTGGACTTGGGGTGTTTTACTCACCTATACTCACACTCACCCACCCACCCACTATCACCCACTCATCACCCACCCGCCCGCCCGCACGCTACCCACCCACCCACCCACCCACCCACCCACCCACGCACCCACGCACGCACGCACGCACGCACTCACTCACTCACTCACTCACTCACTCACTCACTCACTCACTCACTCACTCACTCACTCACTCACTCACTCACTCACTCACTCACTCACTCACTCACTCACTCACTCACTCACTCACTCACTCACTCACTCACTCACTCACTCACTCACTCACTCACTCACTCACTCACTCACTCACTCACTCACTCACTCACTCACTCACTCACTCACTCACTCACTCACTCACTCACTCACTCACTCACTCACTCACTCACCTCCCATATCACCAGATATCACCCGATATCACCCGACATCCCTTGAAGTGACATCGATGTCACACGAAGTCAACTCTTTTACCAAATGTGACCTGCTAGCCGATCCAGCGGAATCGCCCGATACCTCCCGACATCACTCAGTGTCCCCCGATATCCCCCGATTTTCCCCAGCATTGCCCAGAGTCACCCGGCATCACCCGAGAACAGCCGACAAGCCAACAACCCGATATCAAATAAACGGCGTATCGGCGCATATCGGCTTATCGGCGCGGAGAGAATCACCCGATATTCGATGTCGGCTTTCCGGCTTATCGGCGCAGCTTTTTTAAGAATCTGGAACGTCTGGAACTTTGAACTTGCCAGCTTCAAGTTTACAACGAAGTCAGCGGCTATTCGGCCATTAAGAAACGTCCCAATTAGAGCCCGGCGATTTTGATCCGCCGAAGCGAGGCAGTATTTGCATGGAGCCCAGCTGCGACATCGTCACGCGCTGTGGCCACGTCTTTCACCGCGGCTGCATTGAGACAGCCCTGCGACAGCTTGGAAGAAGCGGGCAGGGGCAGCTTGGCTCGCAGCGTGGTGTATTCCCCTTGCTCCTCGCGGAATGGGCCCCTGGTAGGTTCCCTCTAGAACAGATACGGGTGGGCAAGTATGGCTTGATGCGCAGGTGCGATTTGGCTCTCTTGTTGCCAATGTGTGAATGTAACTGAGGTTTGGTCAAAGTTTTCAGTAGTCTCTGGCTGTTGGGGAGGGGGCCTCACTCATTTCCCACAAAACCAAAGGGGACTCACCAAATTTCCCATGCTGGAAAAAAACAAAACCTCTCCATGTCTTCTTGAGGGAGCCAGTATTTTTGAGCTTAGGCACTGTCCTCTCTGCCGCGGCAGCATCAAGAAGGCGGAGCTGCTCGAGAAGCCTGCAGACTTTTGCCGGCAACAACGCGCGCGCTCTCCAACTGCGCGGCGCCACAAACCCTCGCAGCCAAATTCGGCAGGTAAGGTTTGGACATGGCCCTGAGCAATCTGGAGCCCCTTCGGTCGGCCCCTTCCCAGCTTGAACTTGAAACAGCAACCTGGAGAACTTCTTCAGTCCTTGCCTTCTTGGCCCCTTCTGGGCAATAGGACACATGGGACATGCTGATCAACAGGAATGGCATGTTCCCCGAAAGCGTTAGCGAAGGGTTCTTTGCAAGAAACAGTTGCTGGTTGCACAGTTGCGCTCGCAGCTCAGCATTGGACAGCTTTGCTTGCCTTTTAGAAGGTCCTATTTTTGAGACAAGGGGCAGCCTTTATTCACGGGGGTTTTAGTAATCGTGTACTGCAATGGAAACCAAAAGGCGGTCTACGCAACAGGAGTTCAGAGAGGGGGTTGGATCCCCCACTTTCCTTTTTTTGTTTGGGGGGGTGGCTTTGTTCGAGTTGCAGTGAGGAACTCGAGGTGGTGGAGGGGGAGAACGATGCGAATTGGGCGCCCGCCAGCTCAAAGATCCGGGCGGTGTTGGCCTTCCTGTCGGAGCAGGTGAGATGACATGACCAGTCAAAGAGGAAGCCAAGTGGAACTGGGGTAGCCCTTGAGGGAAGGGGCCGCGGCCCGGGCCGCAGGCAAGTTGTAGAACCCCAAAATGGGTTTCCCTGTGGTCGTATGTTTAGACAGCCAAAGCAGGCGCCCGAAAAACACGGTCGCCCATGTCCATTGGGAAGCTTCGTGAGGTGATCCAGAAGGTGGACGGAGAGCAGCGTCCCCACAAGGCCCAGTGATTGAGCCCAAGCAATCAGCGCAGCCAGTTGCTGGAGGTGGATTCCACCCTAAATCCCTTTTGGTTTGGCGGGTTCTGGACCCACGGAATATTGGCCCTGCTTCCGGCTACGTGAACTACTGAAAACTGGGAAGCGCGCCTATGGATTTGGCCCAAGCTGGAGAGAACCCTAAGACTTTGACTGACGTCCAACAAATGGCCGTCATGCCCTGCATCCAGAGTTGCGAAATGGAAGTTGTTCATCCAGCAACCTTTCAACGACCCCTCCGAAAGTGGAGGTTGTTCGCCCATGCACTTGTTACATTCTGAGTGGCCATGTCGTTCTTCAGAATTCTACGAAGAGGGTCGTGCAAAGTCGAATCACCACTTGCATGAGTGCCCTTTGTCTTCATGTTGATTTCAGGCGCAGCGTTTCGCGTTTTCGAGGCGTCCAAATGGGACTTGTCCCCGTTGAAGCGGCTTGCGGCAGTCCTGGCAGCCCTGAGGCCGTCATTTTCTCGCAGTTCACCGCTTTGTTGAACCTGGTGCAGGCGGACTCTTGGCAAAGCTCGAGCCGTGCGTCACGCTCGGGTTGAGTTGCGCAGGCCAGCCTGAGGATTGGCAGGGCTGCCATGGTAAGATAGCATAGCAGGATGTAGGGCTATGGATGTTTTGTGTGGTTCAGTGCGTTTGGGTGGGGGGGGGGTGGGGGGTGGGCACAGCCTTCAACATCAATATTGTTTCCTTCTGCAAAGCATGAATGTGGGGACCAGAACCTTGGCGGTATGCAAACTATGCGGCTTATGTTGCTTTACTGGCGACACCTCGTTGATACACACCGCAGTCTGAGTCTGCAATGTCCTCGAATCATTGCTTCGGCAGGAATCCTTATTCAAGGCTCCCTCCAAATGGATGCCAAGGCTTGTACCCAATTCTCCCCCACGCGCCCCACAGACCTTATATCTCCCTCCAAACGGTTCAGCCGTAAGCCCGCGGCCGAGGAGCTGAAAAAGCATCAGCTGCCCTTTGTGCGGCTGGACGGCTCCATGTCCCACGACGCCCGCGTCTCTGCGCAGCAGAGCTTCGCGGGGCACGGGCACATCCAGGCGCGCAAACCATCAAAACAGGTGGTGGGGCAGTCAGCATGCACGCCACGAATGGAGTTGTTGTCCAAGAAGCGGCCGAGAGGGCGGCAGGGGTGCGGGGGAACCAATGAGAACTGTCAGATCCCTTGATTTGCTCAAAGCGTTGACGAGCCGGATCGAGTTGCAAGAGACCTAATGATACCACCATGTATAGCATCTATGAGATTTGGCAAGTTTGTACTCAGACCTCTTTGGATTTGTTTGGGCAGGTGTGCTTCTTTGGCATGAGCAGCACGGAGATGAGGATCTAGTTTCACTCCATCAGATGGCACCTCAAGCCAACAAGGGTGACATTTCAAAGGTTGCCCAACGAACAAAGCACAACCTAAATCTTTCACCCATGAAACTTTGCAAGCACACAAGCCGCGCAAAACGGGCCAGGTTTCTTCTCGCAACAGCCCAATTCAACAATAAAGTGCCCAGATGCCCGTTCTTGAGCATTCGTGACAAACGACGATTGTCTCGACCCCCGGCTTTACAAACTTGCAAGTCACCCGCCGAAAGTGTGGCAATCTGCTGAATTTGGTGTTTGGAAGCCAGCAAGCCAAACGCGGGCTTGCAGCGGGGTTGTCTGGCAACCAAGTGCCCCTGTGTTCACGCTCGTTTCTTCGAGCACAAAGCTCTGCAAAGATTGAGGAAGTCACGCCAATAGGAAGCATGTTCTGACGAATAACCATATCAACGATGGACACTGAGAAATATTGGGCTAGGCAGTCAAGAATGGGGAAGTGTCACCTCGTTTGTCAAGCACCGAAGCTTCCATTCAGAAACAGCAGGATGTCCCCAGCGCATCAGCTTGCAGCGCCACTCGCAGGTGATGCTTTGCAGCCTCAAGGCAGCTGGAACAGGCCCCTGGTACTAGGAGTGACTGGCAGTTGTGTTGTTTCGCATCGCTCATGAACGATTCGGCTACCTCAAAAGATGCATGACGGAATTGAAATGTCACTCGCTCCGGCCTGCTGGGCGTAGCAAACCGCAAAGAATCCATCGTGAGGCTGTGTCTTCTGCTTTGGGGCCAAGGTCTTCGGCTTGCCGTAAAGGGATGACATGGAGGGTGGTGGCAGGTCTGAACCTAACAGCTGCGGACCACGTGCTGTTGATCGACCCGCCGTGCGCTTAGGCGGGAGAAGGCGTCAAAGGCACAGAACCTTCGAGGGCAAACTGCAGAGTGCGACTCTTGAGGGATCGGTCAAATCCAGTCCTGAGGTGGTGGAATCCAGCTGTAGAGGACTGAGCACGAAGCTATTGGTTCCGTGGCTTTAGGTGAGCCCCTGCCCGTGCATCGCATGGCACTTCGTGGTAAGCGATAGAAACAAAATATTTGGGTCGGCCTGATGAGCCTCCTCGCAGTCAGCTTGAGCCACAGGTGCCGGCATGGTGGCAGCTCCACACTGCAGTTTCATGGATTTGACGTGGCTCAGCCCCTATCGTCTCAGCCCATAACGCGCTGAAGTTCAACATTGCATTGTCCTTGCAATCTTACAGCAGCCTGAAACTTGATCCACTCAAGCTGCGTCAGATTCTTTGTGTTGACTCCTGATTAGTAGCCCCTCGTTATTAATCAGGAGTGTTTGCATTAAAAAACAGTTCTCAATCAGCGAGGGGTACCTTGCTTTTAGATGCAGTGCGCGTCCAAAGTCCACATTAGCAAGCTGCTGGTAAGCTGGGCAAACCACGCATGAGTTCCCGAAGGCGTTCACCCTGCTTTCTATCTTGACATCGAACACCCCTCCAAACATCTTTTCCCACCCGTGGCTTTCAAATGGCCGCAGCAAGTGGTTTTGTCTTCATACTTCGGAGACCCTCACAATTGCGGGTTTCCTCAGCTCATCTCGGCTCACTTGCCCAAAGCGAATCGACCTTTTCCCCTTGGTCAATTTTGGCCCCAAAAGTACCTTTTGACCTTTCAGTTTCCCCTTTGTTCATCTTTGGTGTTGGACACCTTTCATCCTTTTGACCTTTTTGTTTCCCTTGGTCCGTTTCATTTTGTACCGGTCTTCAAAAGGCGATCGTCTTTGGTTTCCCTTGGTCTATTTTCTGGCCGGTGCTCAGCAGAGGGCCCCTATAAATTCCATCCAACTGGTGGTTTCCTTTCAAGGACCCCTAGGTTCATGCCCACATTCCCTACTGAGCACCAGAACTTCTTTTTGGCCCCAGAACTTGATTGCCCCCCAAAAAGTTAAACTTTTTGCAGGGGGGTCAACAGCAACCAAGAGAAGGAACCAAAAGGCAACCAAACCGGAGACGAGGACCAGGCCATCGATCGCCTGCACCGCCTGGGCCAGCGACGCCCGGTGCGCGCTCTGCGCTTCGTGGCGGAGCGCACCGTGGAGGCACCTTTGGGGCGGCTCGGGGGGGTTTGGGGGTGGGGGGATTGAGCGAGGATGCTGAGGGTTCAGGGTGGGGGGGAGGGGGCAGGTGGAGGCGAGTGGGCAGGTTGCAGGTTGAGTGGGCGAGAATCTGTTTGTTTCTGAATTTATGTTTTCCGGTGCAACCAAGGACCATTTAAGCGCCCTCAGGCACGACTTAAAGCGGACCGACAAGATCACACCAGCACTTGGTACTGTAGCACTGAAGTAGTGTCGCCCGCTGCCCCTCAGACATCGCCAGCCAGCGAGCTGGAGCCAGCAGGCACCCAAACTGAGTAAATGACTAAAGTTACGCGACTAAACCAAAAAACCAAGCCTCAGCTAAGTCCACCCTGGGTTAGCCAGGAAGTGGCTAGAGTGGCTAGTAGGTGCTTGCTAGTTGTTAAGTGGTCAGGATGCAACTTAGGATGCCTTGGCTCCTGCGTACCTTGAAGCTAGGAGCGCATCCTGGAGGTGCAGAAGCAGAAGCGTGCCATCGTCGAGGGCGCCCTCTCAAAGAAGTCCCGCGCCTCCGGCAGGAAAGACTCCGCGGCATTTGTCGGAACAGGTGTCTGTTTCAGACCGCCTATGTGTGTGTGTGTGTTTCTCAAAACAGGGTCCCATGTGGTGCCGGAAAGATTGAAATGGTTGGCTTCCCTTTGGTTTCCTTGCACAATGCTGGGTTGACACCCTCAATCAAAGACACCCAGAAGGTTTGTGATTGTTGATTGGACATGCATCCCTTGTTTCACCCTTTTATACGGGTTTGCGCCCACCAAGGCATGTAAGGCGTAAAGGCATTGGACTATAAACACAGGGTAATCTGGCTGCTGTGACAAGCGCGCTTTTGCAGTGGTGATGTTTCGGATGGCCCGCCTGTTTCTGCTGGTCGCCGCCTTTTTGTTGCGTGACTTGCCCTTCAGAAAGTCCAAAGGTTTGTCCTGGCCCCAAATTGTCCAGCGAGGGCTTGTCCTTTCAACGGCAGCCAGAGAGAGAATGGGGAAACCTATAGCCAGGCGGAGGTAGCCAGGATGATAAGATGCTAGGTCAACCAGTCACAGCACTTCGCCATGCAAACTTGGTTCGAGGCGAAGAGTTGCAGAAGATCCGCCTGGAGATGATGGCCTCAATCTTTGAGCCGTTGTAATGATGTTGGCAGTGCTGAATGACTTTAGGGTCTCAGTCATGAACCGCCCTCAGAGGACAGATGTAAGATTCGTGTAAATGATGTGGAGCCCATTCGCGCAAACAACCATTCGCTCTGCCATTGGGACAACTGGGGTGAATGCCCCGCCCCTCTGAGATTGGGCTGATCTCAGTGAGCAGTGTTTGAACACTCTGCTCTCTCAGAGCAAAAGGAAGCTGTACAGATGGTTCCACCGAGGTGGCGCCATGTGCACCTCTGGGGTCTTGGTGCGTTGAATTTCAGGAAAAGGGGCGCCGGCGCTGGGACGGACTCGGGCCGTCGAAGCTAATCTCGGGGCCTGCGTGTTTGTTTTTTCCTCGCAGGACTTGCACAAAGGGCAGCGGCAAGAGCCTGCATTCATGCATGTGCAGCCAAGTTCCAGACGGTGCAATTCATGTTGGCGTTTGGCATTCTGCTTTCACGACCTTGCTGACTTGGGAGTTTGAAATCAGATCATTCAATTTTGGTGACGTATTTTAATGCCGCTCGTGGACAACATAATTGTTTGTTGCAGTTTGACCCCGTGGCGATCCGTGCTGTGCGTGTATGTCTGCGTGTGTGCCAGCCTTCTTGAACTCCTGGCAAGCGTTGTTTTGACCGTGGCCGGCGCCTCTTTATGCCACCTGGGCAGGGCGTCCCAGCGTGCTGCGTGGCGAGGGCTCTGGCAAGAGGAGCTCTTTGGCCGCTGGGGCAAGCATGTGACAGTGAGGAACCCAACTGACAGAGCTAACAACTAGTAACTAGTGTTTGAGAGGGTTTGTGGGAACAACTCAGTTCCCCTAAAAGATTGGCGGGCCGCCCACCAGGACCAAGCAATGTGTGTGTGGAACAGCTTGTCCCTCACTGACCAATGGCAAGTTGAGAGCCGGTTGTTGGCTTAGGTTGGCTTATCTTTTTGCTTGTGCGCTTGCTTGCTTTGCTTGCTTTGCTTGAATCCCTTGCTTTGCCTGCTTTGCTTGCTTGGCTTGCTTGGCTTTGCTTCGCTTTTTGTTGGCTGGCTGGCAGGCTGGCTGGCTTGATTTAATTTGCTTTGTTTGCTTGATTTCGGAATATGTTCGCCATGGCTTGCTTGGATATTTCCACGGTCAGGGCTGTCCCTGTCCCTTTGCCGGAATGGGGCGCGGGGAGTGTCCACCAGCCAGCTGACCATGCGCTTCCACCAAGCTGCCGGACCAGCCAGGCCCGCGCTCGCCTCCAAATAAGGGAACTCTTCAAGCCGTCTCCTGTTGGCTTCCCTTGAAAACCACTCAAGAGAGGGGTGCCCTCACAAAGAACAACAACCAAAACACCTCATGCATCCATTTTCTTTGTTCGAGGCGAAGAAGGCGGTGGACCTTTCGAAGCTTCAGCACCTTGCAGTGAAATCACAGGCCTGTGTTGACTCACCACTCGGAGGGAAACTTGTGGAATAGTTGGGTGGGTCAAAATCGCTCAATGAAACGTGGCTCCTGATCCCTAGCGTTGACGTGCACAGCTTTGCGTTGCAGCCATGTTACCAGCTTGGTGCTGAGGTTTGGCGTGCAAGATCCCGAGGTTCCTTTGCCAGCAGGCTCGAGTTTTGCTTCGCCAGCGCTTTTCGATCTCAAGAAGTCCAGCCGATCAGAAAGGCGGTCGTGCCTTGTTCTTCAACTATTGGATGGAGAGACATGTTTGTACCTCCCTCGTGTCATGCGAGAAGCCTGTACTGCACCGGTGACTCCCAACAAAGTTCTAGCATGATCATTGCTTTCGTCGTGACATTGGCCGGATGGATGTGTCAGATATGTTGGAAGAGGCCAAGTCTGGATGTGACTGTGGCATCCATCCAGAGGGGCTTGGTGAACTAGAACGGTTTTGTTTACACTTGTTTGCGCACATCTCGGCACATGCTCAAATGTTCACTCCGTTCAAGATTGGGGTCATGCGAGCTCAGCAGACAGAGACGATCATTGCCCGGATGCAAGTTTGAATAGCTTGCTGAAAAGTAGCGATATACTTGCTTCCTTTAGCAGAGCCATTGATTTGTAGGCCGGCTCAGTCACAACGCATAGCTTTTGCCTGAGGATCCTTGCATCCACTCCCGCCACCAGTTTGGTCTTTCAAATGTTGCTTGAAACCCATGACCCCCGGCTTGCCAGGGGTTCAGCGCGGCCATGCGCCGGCACGCTACAAAGTGGAGGTGGCTGGAAAGGGGTGGAAGATACTGGTTGAGGAGCTGAGTTCAAATGCGTTCCTTTCAGATGCTACACACATAACTGTTCTTTGGGTCGAACCTGGAGCCCGTTGATTCGAAGCCGTTTAGGCTCCCCTCGCTCAAATGTTCGCATTAGCCCAAGAATCTTGGTACCTCAAAATGGCCCCTCTGTGAGGTCAAAAGAAACCGGTCCGAAGGTCCTGAGCCCAATGGAGGGTCCTGACGGATGTGAGGGTACGGCTTCGAGCCAGGCGCACCTGGCAGACGAGCTGGAAGAGAAGGGAGCCGCACAGCGAGAAATTTGCGAAACATGCAAATGGTGGGTGCTCAAAATAGGGGCAGGAAAAACCGGGCCTCTAAAATGGGCTGCTTTCCCTTTAAAACCATCCAAAAGGGGGTCTACCATTTTGAGAACCCTCCCCAGCCCCCAGCTTGTGCTATTCCCCCCCCCCCCAAAAAAAAAAAAAAAACACGAGGGGATGGATGTTGTGTTGGCCCCTTAGCACCCTTGACGCTGCTCCTTGGGCAAACTGGGCAGCTCTCATTTGCCTCAGATCTAGCTGAGCCTTGGTGTTGCAAGTAAGCGGACTTCAGCTGGGCCTTGGTTTTTCAATCAAGTGGTCTTCGTGTTGCGTCCTCAGTCAAACCCAGCATGAACTCGGACAAGACTTTGACTTGCTGAGGTTGTCTTAGTGCCCGGTGCCTTGAAGGACCTGCTAACCCGGGCATGGATTGCACCATGGTACGTCCCGCAAAGCTGGGGCCCCCACGTTTTGCTTGGTGCGAAATCGCAACTAGGTTGCATGCAGAACCCGAGGCGCGCCATTTAATGATGGGCAGAGGTGGAGGTTCCACAGAACCTCATGGGGCAAGAGATCCCTGGGAGAAAACATCACCTGTGTGGCCAGTTTAAGACCACCCCACCTTTTAGAGGGGTGATGTTTCATGGGACAAGACAGTCCCTGGTTTTTTCCCCGTTTCTCACTCGCAGCTGGCAGGACTGGGTGGAGTTTCTGCGCCAGGTGACCGACCATCAGGTGGAGCACCCACACCTTTGGAGCCTCGTGGGGCGCGGTGGTGACAGCTTCGCCCTCAGACCGAAGTTCCTGAGCGGCGACAGGGATGTTCAAGCAGGCTGAATGTAGACAGAGTTCCTGGTAGATGTATATAAGGAAAGGGGACGACCATCCCAGAGCGAGAGAGAGAGAGAGAGATCTACTTTCATTAAATGTGCAACTTTCATGAGCCGGGAATCTCTCGCGAGGGGGCTCTCAGGTTACGACTACATTCAGAGGAATGTGTGGATGACCAACAACGGCTACCGAGATTTCATGTGCCTTCGGCCTTCTGCTCAACACGCAGAGTCGCTATTTGGGACTGTGGTCCTCAGTCTCAAGTCGAGGTTGACATTGGGAAACAAATATGTCCAAACCAGCACCCAGGTTCCATGTTAATTGGTGGGAGGGAACCTTCCACAGGTTTCGGAGCCATGTTTTCTCTAGGTACTACTCGCCCCTTTGCCACGTGCTGGCGCAGCTGGCGCGGACCTCGGAGCTGCGGCCCAGCACGGACGTGCTCATCGTGAACCCCAACGCCGGGGTTCGTCGGGGATGTTGGGCCGAAAGGCCTAGGAACAGGTTTCAGACCCAGGGGACCCCTTGTCACTTGGATGGTCTTGCTTCAAGGACCAGCTGGAGCCCCAGAATTTGGAGAAACGTCTTTCCAGGAAGGAAGCCAACATGGAGGCTGTTTTAAGGCATGTTCAAAAGGGTTTGAACCAACCCTGGGGGCCTGGTCTGATGGAGAAGGCGATGTCTGTTCTTGGGATAGGGTTCGGGTTGAGCACGGGATCCTGGTTTTTACGCAACCAGTGGAGGGGTTTAGTTTGGGGTGGTCACCCGAGTTTTGGCTTCAGAGCAACGAAAGCAACATCTCAGGTAGCAATGATTCTGACTGAGTCATGAGCACAGACATGACCATTCTCAAAGGTTGCATGCAAGGGGGGCCCCTTGGGCAGTTGATTGCGACAACCCTCTCATTGAGGTCCACCCGCAGTTTGCCCGCAGTTCGGGTGGCACGTTTTCCTTGGCGCCGCGGCTGCTTCCCCGCCCCTTGCCCCCCAAAGTCCGCAGCAAAAACTGTTCGCACCAAAGCGCCAGGATGGCATCAACTGGCACCAGGACAATCAGAACGGCCCGATCGATGCTGACTATGTCGCCAGACGCAGGTTTGGCATGGATCCATCCAGAGGGCTTTCCTATTTAACAGCGTTTTAAGTGACCATGCCACATGCCACATGCTAGCTTTTTAGCAAAACGCCGCTGCCCCTTTCCTTTGAGCCTGGTCATTAGGAAGTCGACTCCTGCCCAGTTTGAGCCGTCGGGAGCCTGTACAGTTTCAACCTTGAGCTGCTTGAGCTTGATCCGTTCTTTCGCAGTGACACACGTGACAAGTTGGGATGGATGAAACCCACCACCAATCCCAACTGGTCAACTGATGCCTGATTTGGTTGCGTAGCCATCCACATTGGGTGAATCCCACCTATTACCAACTGCCCGATCGGTGTGATTTTGTTTTACTATTCACCGGGTTCAGGGTTCATCCTGCACCAGTTGCTGCGGATGAGGCTCCCTGAATGCTGCGAGAAAACCACAAATCCCAACTGGTGTCCGGTGTGGGCTTTGTTCATCAGGCTTCCAGTGACGAGGGTTGCGAGAGATGGTCTCAGGCAATCCGCTGGTGGACTGCCATGGATGCCTGCGGTGAGGGAAAGATCGGGGTGCCGGCG